TTCAAACTTATTTAAATTTTATGATATGACCGTATGTACGTGATCTTTCGCACTTCGATTCTCAATGCTGATAGCATGTTTCGAACTGCAGCGAGCTTGAAACTAGAGCAACCCTGGCAAAAATGCGTCGACCCAAGTGCCATGGGAGACGTTCCTTCTGTTTATAATTGGCAAAATTCCCGTGACGTCGTTATCCATGGAAAATAAGCCTAACTTGTTTGTCGTTCAGAACCAGTGCTCTTGCAAAATAAGCCCAGGTTTGTGTGATTCAATAAATCCACAAACTAGCTAAGTGCCTGAGGGCATAGTTAAGTGAATGATGACCCTTCATAAACGCCTGCCCTGAAACCGCGCGTGATTATCGTGACAGATTTTAATGAAATCCATCTGCAAGGTACTGACACTTATTTAAAGCCTTCATCCGCACAATAAAAGAACACTTCAGCTCCAGCGCACTCTAACGGCAACCATAACTTTTTTTTGCTGTCGCTTTGTTCGTTTTTCTTTCAATTGTTCGGCACTTTCATCTTTCACCCCCGTAGCGGATGGCCATCAAAACTTTAAAATCGTTTGATGTCCATTAAAATCCATGTGGCGCCGTGACATTTGGGCCACCTGACACTTGGGCCACCTGACACTTGGGCCACCTGACATCTGGGCCATTTTACATGCATTTGGCTACCATACTTTCAAAAGAAAACGTACGTAATAAAACATTCCGATGCGAATGATAGCTTCTTTATTCTTACTGCTGGTAAAAATTAAATATTGGCTTGTTAATAAAAGTTCTGCAACTTGCAGCATTAGCCATTAACAACGTACGAATAAGTACACAAGATTCGAAAACGAGGCGTGCATTAATATTATGGAGTGTTTGTAGGCATATAAGCGGATACACAGGGGCTGCATGGGTTCGATCAATGCACTATGTAGCAGCATAAGTAAATCGAACTCATGCACTGACGATGTGAGCACTGAGCAGTTGCCGTTAAATTTACTCCCGCATCCTTCTGCTTATCAAATCTTCCTGATCAGATTTCTGTTTGATTAAAATTTCAATTAATACATGGCGCTAAAAGCCCAAGAAACCTAAGAAAGCTGAGAAACATAAAAATACAGGGAAAGAAAAGAGTTACAAGAGACCGTAAAGTGCGGTGGCCCAAGTGTCAGGTGGCCAAAATGTCAGGTAGCCCAAATGTCAGGTGGCCCAAGTGGCAGGACACCATCCAGGCGCCATCATCGGAACGTGTTCGCTCGAGGTTACCTATGCTTCGGCGCTAGGCAATCACATCCTTCGGTAAACACGTTATAATATATACTGTACAAGTCTATGGAGGTAAACGTTGTTTCGGTGTCACATCGATCCTCGATGATGCAAGGTTCATTTGCTAACCCGTAACAGACTCCATATGAGCGTCTCAACAGCTTAAAAAAAAATCCGTGCAAAAATTTTATTTGGGGAATTTTTTACAAAGGTTGTTATAATCATACCGAAACGACCTCTGCCCTCCCCTTTATTCATACAGGTGGTTGCTGACTGATTCTAAGATTTTTATTTTACGCTGCTGGATGGGCCATAAAAGTTGCACTGGGAAAGTGCAAAACGAGAAACGGAACGACGCATCGAAATACATTATAATTTATTTTGCACCACTGCCCGAACTTGGCGTAGCACCCCTGTACGCTTTTGTTTCTAAAATGCATTGTCTACGGAGTTAAATAATGCTTTCTTGAACTCAAAAAACACCCATCCTGAGTCATCTTTTGAATGAGGAAAACCGCGGGCACGTTTTTTTCTCAAATGAAACCGGGTACTGCTTAACTGTATTTTTGTTAAAAAATTATGGATTTTGTGACAGATTTTATTATTTTTATAGTAAACATTTAATACAATGCGAAGTAAAGCATATAAAAGTTAGACTATTAGTAAATAAATTAAATCAAGTTTAAATTGAATAGAATTACCCGTGCACGCAGCCCGCGCCCGTGTTGAATCCCGTCTTCCCAGCCAACACCCGTTTCCAGACTCCGTGCCAACAGCCAACACTCGTGCGGACTCAAAAGGTCACCTGTGCTGCACATGTGACCAGCCAACTCCCGTGTTTACCCGTGCACGCAACCATAGTGTTATCATACAGCAGTATGTTAGTGTCAGTTGCTAGCGCGACCAGTTACGTTTAAGGTATAGAATTACGGTTCTGAAACTACTGTAGATGTGTGAATGAATTAAATGGAATTTCTCCTAATTTTTTTCAACTTTTTTTAAACGTAGAAATGCTAAGATACAGTACATGTATTAATGTATATGCTAAATATATAGTTAGCTAGCAGCGCGGAGCCAGCTTTGAAAATAATTTGAAATGTTAGGAAATTTCTGGAAAATCAGAATCTTAATAAATATTATTGAATGTTCAATAAATATTTTGAAAAAGTTTTGCAGGTATGATATTTGGAAATTTTTGAAACTTCAACAAATTCTAAAATGTGAATGCATGCGATGCCGTATACGTAATACGTCAGCATTCAAGTCATGTATTCAGTGCCTAAAATCTTCGGTATGGCATGTCAATAAATAAGTATTTTCTTAGGGTTGCGACGAGACCAAATTTAGTCACACTTCTTCTGCTTATTGTGTTAGTTACTGAGCACATATCCTTTAATGGATGTGCCCATAATAACAAATACCGAATCTCAAGAGTGACCCGTAAAAGATGCGCTAAACCTCAGTAAGACGGTGATGTCTTTTTCTCGCGTATAATAACATTAAATTTCAGCTTTCTTTAGCTTTCACCTCCTACACGAAAGCGGTAACTTTGTTCGCACAGTGTACCAAAATTCTGATTTAAAAATTAATGCCACTAAAAGGTCACGTGCATCAGTGTATGTACGTGCTTCAAGGTTCTCGCGAAAAAAAAGAATGCTAATTACTGGTCGAAGTCTTTAAAATTCATGCAAAAATTGCAATTCGTGTTGTAAAGTCGACCTAATGCAATTATTTTACTAGTATTAGTATTGTTAGTACTGATTGCAATTATTTGTGTTGCATTTACTGCACTCGATATTATAATACTGTATTTGGTTTGTGAGATCTTGCTAGTTAGTACCGTAATTAGTAGTCCAGTAGGTTTTTTTAAAGGACAGCCCACAATAATATTAATTTCCTATTTTAATACTGTACTTGAAGGATTTGATTTGAGTCTGTGACGTAACACAAATTGACGGGTTTGTCACACTGTCACTGAAATGCGACCATAAAAGAAAAGCAATTTGAAAGTTAAGATGTAAAAATTAATACTTCTGTAGTGACGTAACTCAAATAGGCGGGGCTGTCACACTGTCACCGAAATTCGACCGTGAAAAGAAAATAATTAAACAATTAAGATTTAAAAATTAATAATTTTGTGGTGACGTAACTTAAGGCGAGGTAATTGTTTTGCCTTCATTTTCAGAGAGTTACAATAGCTACAGTTTCAGGTAGAAAAAATGCTTTAAAATGGATGTTTTTCGAAAGTCGAAGATCCAAATAAAGCACAACTGTGTAAAAGATCAAAAGGTACCGTGGGTCTAAAACGACGTTCGATAAATAACTTAATATCTCTGAACTGCAAACAACCGCACGCGGGCTGCGTGTCTGCGTTGCGCTGCTACCGCGCGCAGACTGCGATTTGATGAACGCTTTATGCAGCCTGCAGGTAGCGTGGTGGTATGTTTACTTTTCTGCGCCGATGCAGATGGCCATTTTCGAAAAACAAAAACCCATATTTACTAGAATTAAAGTTTGGACAGTTCTACGCGCCTTATAATCCATTCCCGCAATGGAATTGGCTGTTCTTGGTACCGTTGGAAAGACAAAATTATTTTACATACTGGGTTTTTTTGGTTTTGGAATTGAGCCATTCGAATTCCAACGCTCAGTGGTTTTCTCAGTTAGGGGAATTAGTTTCATGTTTAAAAATTTATATCTTTACTGTTTTTTACACAAGATTTTTTCAAAATAAATCCAATATGTAAAATAATTATACGTTATATTTAGAAACAGCAAACTTGAAGTTGCCCCATTGGGTGCTTCAGCGCAGTTTTTTTGGGGCACATATAACATAATATTCTATATCCCGTTTGCACTTTTAGGCTTCATTTTAAAAACTTATATGTTAAAAAGTGCAATTTATAAGGTTTATAATGAATCTTTGCACTTCGAGAACAGACCAACCAAAGGCGCACAACAAATTTTCAAAGTTGTCAGTAAAATTGGCATGCTGCAAACAATTACATCCCGTTAAGTAGGCGGGGCTGTCACACTGTCACCGAAATTCGACCATGAAAGGAAAATAATTTAAAAATTAAAATTTAAAAATTAATATTTTTGTAGTGACGTAACTCAAACAGGCGGGGCTGTCACACTGCCACCGAAATTCGACCATGAAAGAAAAATGAATTTAAAAATAAAATTCAAAAATTATTTTTTTATCAAAGAAATAATAAAAATAAATAAATTAATATTTAAAATTTATTTTAATAGTATTTCTTTAAGAATTTAAGATTAATAAATCCAGTTCCATTAAAAAATTTTCCATTTACAATAAAAACATTTGCCCCGAGCCTTGAGCATACAGTATTCTCTGACGGAAACGGCTGAATCTGGTACACCGAGAAAATGCTTAATGCAAAGGTACATTGCTTAGGGTAATCCGCATGTCGGTCATTATAGTAATTAATACAAAATAATTAATTTAAAATAGAATAACTGCCTAGTGCCTACTATTGGTTTTATCGTATAAACACATAATTATTGAATTACATTATAATTTATTTATAAACATATTATTATTGATTTTCGTTATTGTACTGACTTGAAATCATAGTGTTTCCTTCGTCATTTGTAGCTTTTCAAGAGAAGAAATTATTAATTCTCCTTTTCTGATTAAACTTTCAAATTCTGTTGCACTTCACTTGTAAGCACAATTCGCGTTGCTTCATCTACCGACTTTTCTCGTTTGCAGTTTTGTGTACACGGACACCGTGACGAGTCTAACCGTCGACAACGTGGCCCAGACGATGTACTGCACCGAAAAGTACAACATTCCGGCGCTTTTCGATCTGTGCTCGGAATTCATCATCGGTCAACTCACGGTGGACAACTGTCTGACCGTGTTGCAGAGTGTGTGTAATGTCTCCGTATTTGCACTGGCCGGTCAATCGCAATGTGGCGTTTTGCAGGTGCAACATCTGAACGCGGATAACGTTGTGGAGAAATGTCTGGAAATGGTGGATACCAACTCGGCTACCGTTCTGCAGTCGCAGCAGTTTCGGGAGATTTATAGCAATGACACACTGTTCGCTGACGAGCATCTCATCTATGCGGCTGTTGAGAAGTGAGCGAAAATTATGGAATTCGTTTAAAGGGAAAACTTAATTGTACAGATATATCGATGGCAGAAGACATTCTCGAATTGATAGTGTTTAACCGCCGCAGACTACCAGATTTAGAGCTCACTAGAATTTATTAAGCTTTGGCTTTCGCTTTTGAACTGTTCTTCGTACACCCTATGGAGTTTTGAGCTGATGTTGAATCTTGGCTGTTTTTCTGAAGGTGGGCGGCCAATGCCTGCAATTTACGTGGTCTGGATCCATCGCCGGCCAATCGGCGTGAGGTGCTGGGACCGGCGCTGTACTGTGTACGATTTCGCAAATGTCGGATATTCAACTAGCGGACGGCCCGGTCAAGGTACTCGGCTCCGTACTCCTATGTAAAAACTCTACTTCGAGTAAAATCGAAGTAGCTGTGAGCGTGTGAGGATTGGAAACGGACTGAGCAACGGTTGACTGCAACATCACTCTCGGTTCCCAGTCCGTCCAGTTTAGCAGTGCGGCCAGGGCTTATTAAAATTTGAGCCTTATAAAAATTTGTTTTTGAAACCAAAGTTTCAGTAACTTCCTAATTTCTCTGATGTGACTGGAAAAATTTCATTCATAACATAAGAATGTAACAAGCAAAATTAAGAACGCACAGAGCCGTAGAAAAAAGTAAGGTAAGACTAAGACTCATACTAGCAGTACCTATACTAGCAGTACCTATAGTTATACTAGAAGTATAATTATGTGAGCCATCTGCTAAAATATGCATGAAATTTTTCCATTTTATTTGCAGCACACACCATCCACAATTTCACGGTTGAAATATTTTCAGACGGATTTACTGCTCTCTGATGAGCTGCGGAATATTTACCGGTTCAAGCACGCCACGGAAAAGCCGTTCACTAATTTCGCCACGGAACCGCGCCGTGCCCTTAAGTGCCCGGCAACCTTCCAGGTTCGTCAGGCCGTGTTTTCGAAAAAGAGGAAGTAATCGCCAAGAAGTATAACAATTGGCACGCGGCGTACATTACGGGTGTTGATGGGGAAATGTTCCGTATTAAATGGGCGGAGGATTTAAAGGCGGACAGTCGTCGTCCGGAGGAGATTGTGCGTGCCGCGGACATCCTGCAGAGTTGGCAGAAGGTGGTCGTTTTGGCTGGCACTGAGCGTTATGAAGATGATAAGCAGGCATTCTATGTGAAACGCTTAACGACGGGTTGGCATCAGGTGGCGACTTTTAAACCGATCGTCTCGGCAGCTAGGTTCGGAGAATTGGTCGTGCTCCATAACGATGTACTGCAGTGGAAAGCGAAAATGGCAGCGCGCCGTTTGCTGAATGAGTAGCGCTGTTCTTGACATTTTGAAAGGGGAATCTGTCTTTGATGTTAGCTTTTTATTTGAATGCCTGATTTTATCTAACTTTTATTTGAATATCTGATACTCCAGTTTCTCTTTATGTATTGCATTGGTATAACCATAGATGATATCGTGACGTTGGTACCTTAAACGGATTTCAGTGTAAATGCTAGTACTACGGTGGGTAGGATGCTTATCTTGCATGGAGGACGTCTATGCTGGTCGCGACTGTACCTTATGATTGCTCCCTGATGTACGAAACGACGGGAAGTACATGTTTGTTCGAAATAAACATTACGGTTATTATTTCCCTGGATCGAGCAGAACGTTGCTCAAAACCTCATAAACCGGAGCAAACTTGAAAAGACTACGGGACAAGTTAACTCTAAAAGTTAACAGCTGAGCGTGCTCCGCCTTAAAGCGATGAACATTTCTGGAACGGGTACCAACTAAACTTTTCGACAATCATCAAAAAGGGCAGCATTTTTCTAATCGTCGTCGGATTCAGATTCGGTTCCGTCCTCGGATTCAGAATGCCCACGCTCGCTGTCCTCAGCTTCGGTTTCGGACTGCTGGTGCTCGCCGTTTTCGGATTCCGATCCGTTCGCGGATTCAGATTCGTCCTCGGATTTAGATTCGTCCTCGGATTCAGAGTCGGATTCGTCCTTGGAATCGGATTCACACAGCACGCGCTCGCTGTCTTGGACTTCGGATTGCATACACTTGTCCTTCCCTAATTCCGATTTGGATTGTGCATTGTCATCCTCCGCGTATTCGGGCCACCAGAACGGCATGTAACGCGACAAGGCATACAAGCAGAATAAATTCAGCTTGCTCACGTCCACGCGGGTCACATTCTCCAGCGTCCACTCGTGATTTCGGTAATGCGCCGACGGACGCGGATCGCAGGATTGGTAGTATTGTAGAACCTGCAGAATAACGTAGCAGGACTAAGCAGGTTGAGCACGTTAACTGCTCCAAGAAACGAAACAAAACATTAAATACGGATTCTTAATAACACTTTTGTAAGACCGGTTCCGTTAAGGATTATAAGCCAACCAGTTTGAATGATTTGTGCAAGCAAGGCAGTGGCTGCATGTCAGTGCCGTACCTGAATCAGTTTCTCTTTGTTCAATTTATCATCGATGTGGGAGGCCATCAGCTGGCCAATGCCACCAGCATCCAGCGGCGGCCCCTCGCAGCCCAGATGCAGCTCCAACATGTCTGCAATGTGCACCTCATCGACATGTCCCGGCGTGAAGACAGCAGCGGGAATGTCAAACGCCACCAAGCACCAGCATTGCCAGGTTTCCCAGTTTAGCAGCCCGACAACCGCATTTTTCCAGAGTAAACGATCGCAACACGACAGCAGTTTCACTATATGCGCGGTCGTCTGCGCGAAAAGTGAACATTCTTTCCCTTGACCGGTGACCGACGACGAGATCCCCAGCGACAGCTGGTCGAGGATGATGCGGTCAAGGCGGCTGCCGGCGTCGTCCACGATCTTCCGAATAAGGTCCAACGTTTCATCAGACACTTTCAGGTCCCAGTGGTGACCGGCAGACACTTCGGGATTGCGGATGCAGACGGTGCGGGTAGCGGGGGTGAGGTGCTTGACGATGCAGCCGTACATGGCGTAATTACGGTCCCACGTTACGGGCAATGCCGGGCTGGTCTGCTGCCGCGATACAACCACATCTCGGCACAGATCTTACGACGTAAGAATGCCTTCCAACTGCTGACAGGTGCGGCGACATCGCTTTCTGTCGACGGTGTCCAGTGAATGAAAGATCTCCTTCAGCATTCTCACAGGCAATTCTAATCCGCTTCGAAAGACGATCAATGTGTTTTTGCGCCTTGGCTCGGCATCCGACACTTCGGTTGTCTGAAGTATTTCGCGGCGATGGCCCACGGCGTCCCTGGAAATGGCATCCCGGGAAGATCCTGATTCCTTGGTTGGTGAACTTTCACCTATGTCTTCGGTTCTTTTCTACTTTACGGGCTTGCGCAGTCATCTTCCGATTGTCTGGGCGTCTTAGGTCTAATGAGGTAACCGTTCTGCTTTTCACTTATTCAGTGACCTTTGGTCCCTTTGTTCTGAATGCCCAGTATCGCCTACCTGATGGATCTTTCTGTCGCTTCTGCAACCATCTAGCTTGAAAACAGGTAAAGTATAATATGTATTCCTGTATATCTCTCGTGTTCTCATCAAAGACTACTGGTTCCGGTCTCCTTCGTCGTAGTTAGGCCATCTAGCTTTCATCCATCATTCTCCGATAACAGTTTCAGATAGAGAGTTCTCTTACCGCTTGCGCCGTGGTCCTTCTGACTGTGATAAAGGGACAAGCAACGTGCAACGTCTTTTCTTTACATCACGACACCTTCGCCCTTCGGTACGATATTTTCCGGCGGTTTTGTAGATTTTGTTGTTTTTTGAAAATCTTGGCGTCTTTAATCGTTCTGCATGTATGTTTCGATTTCTGATGGAAGTTAACAAGTTACTTTGTTTTGCATGCAAGCATCGGAATGGTAGTCAGGCAAGCTATCTCTTTTACATGCGAAATTTTGCAAATGCTCTTTAGTCAATCTTTTGCTCATTAAAAGAATTATGACTTTTTGGATATTAAGAGTACTGTCAGAGTAGAGATGGCAACGGCTGGCTTAATGGCTTATCGGCTGGCTGCGGCTGGCTAAAATAGCGAGCCGGCTCGAAAGTATCGGCTCACCTACCTGAGCCGGCTCTAACGGCTCGGCTCTGAGCGCGAGCCATGGCTCGCTCGGAGCCGGCTTAGCCGATAGTTTTTGGCGCGGGAAAACACAAGTACTTTTTCACTGAAAAGCACTTTTCCTGTTCTCTTAAGCTAAAAACTGTTTTTGATCAGTTTTTATTGGAAAAAGAGGTCTCCGAAACAAAAATTCAGAACTTTTTTATAAGATCATCGATTTTTCAAGTCTCTAAATCGGCTTTGAACGGGCCAAAAAAGTTGAAATTAAACTTTCCAACACATTTTCGCGCACAATGCGCAAGCCGTTAGCCGACATCGGCTTACGGCTGGCTCGCGGCTGGCTGAGACTTCGAGCCGGCTCAATCGGCTCGGCTAGCATCGGCTACGGCTTCAATTTTGGGTCGAGCCGGCTTAGCCGCGGCTCAAACGGCTTCGGCTGAGCCGTTGCCATCTCTATGTCAGAGGCGGCAGCCTGCGCCTGGTGCGTACGGTCCACACAGGACGTACTTGCACCCATTGCATGCCGTTATCGCCTCTCTCGCTATACGTACGTGTGCTGCTGCTGCACTGACTCATCCGCTGAAGCGGATATACGCAGCGCACACACTGAGCAGTACTTGCTCTCTCGTCCCTCTCTCGCAGTACTACTCAGCGTTCATACGCTCGCGTTGGATCGAGTCCAGTCTGCGCATCATCACACAGCTGATACGACTGGCCTGCAGCACGCACGTGGTTGCCGCCAGCATTCCTTTCACGCCATCAGACGCTCAAGAACCCTTTTAGCATCCACTTGCTAGATTTGGCCAGACGTGCCTTTGTTCTTGCTTTCTGCTATTACGCAGCATTGTTCCCCACTTTATTTGTCAATAAAGCACACTCGTGATCTCCTCGCCAGAGTCTCTTTAACAGTACAGAAATAAGGCATACGCCTTATTTGTGGACATATGCGGTGTCAATTTTAGATCGGCGGAATAGCTGTAGCCTCTAGGTACTGTACCATAGCAGTTCTTCCTTAATCATTTTCGTCGTCGAATCGTCGGACGTCGATAATCTTGTTCTGCAATAAGCCGTGCTTTGCCGGGCAAACGTCAATGTACACGGTAGCGCGTTTAACTGACAACAGAGCAAGTGAGCCCGCCGTCGGCGAGCGCCCGAAATAAGAATCGCTTGCTTCCGGGTCTGTACCGCCTACCGGTGGTGTTGTCTATTTGTACAGATGCGGTTCAATGCACTCTGACGCAGCTGTAGGTTGTCAGCTGACCTACCAGCCAGGAATGCAGTCTGTCCGTGACTCCGTGTATCTGAGCTAGTTTAAGCACGAAACAGGTTTGCGCAGGTGCAGCGGTTCTTCACAAGCAGCTGGCGTTTTGTTTTGTTTCCGTTACAGCTCTTGCAGACTTTTTACTCCGTCTGTTTGTGCCAGTATTCGATCGGATTAACAGACGTCGAGTTAGTTAGCTCGTTATATTATGTCTGATTCTACCGCGTGGGGATGGCAGGGCGCCACGAAAGGAGTTAGAGACCGTTGGGAGCATGTCCTAGAATTTGGAAATTTCAGTGACGTGGAGTTTGTCGTCGAACAGAGCCAGAGCGAAGCCAAAATTTTCCGCGCGCACAAGTACTTCCGATGCTGCTGTGTTATACTGCAATGATGTTAAACAGTTGCAGAATAAACTCATTGGAAGCCTAGAGCCGTCTAGGTGGTGAATTATTTTGTCGTTGGTAGGCTTCTGCTGTGCATGAGTAGCGCGGTGTTTGAGACGATGTTCCGCGGGAGTATTCCGGAAGCCGGCGACAAACCTATCAAAATTTCCGACGTCACGGCGGAAACATTCGGCAACGTGTTGAGGCAAGTGGTGCTTGTTGTTGTTACTGCAAATTTAAAAATGGTACTGCTATCAAAAACTCTGTGAATGTGCTTCCAAGGCTCTAGCTAAGACGCAGCCAAAGCGTACTGCTGTTTTCCTTTAAATCGACGCAAATTTACCCGTTAATGTTTTCCGAATATTCTTTTAACTAAGACTTATTCTTTGATGTACGTCAGTAGCTATTTGTACACGGATCGTACGGATGATATGAAAATGGAAAATGCTTTTGAAACTCTGTACTGCGCTGAAAAATACGGGATTCCGTCGCTGTTCAACCACTGCTCCCAGTTTATTGTCTGCCGGTTGGACAGCAACAACTGCTTGATCAGTCTGGAAAAGGTTCGTACTTGAAAAAGCATCACTGAACATTGCCGAGCAGGTCCACCGATTATAGCAGTTTTACTTACATATTTTATAGGCATTGCGCTTCGGTGCCGACAGTGTGATCAAGGGTTGCCTGGAATTCATCGACGCCAACTGCAAAGCAGTGCTGGATACCCCAGAGTTCATAGCTGTCCGACACGAGATCCTGGAGAAGATTCTGCAGCGCAATACGTTGGCCGTGGATGAGAATACGGTTTACAAAGCGGTCGAAAGGTACAAAACAATCAGCATTATCAATGCCTTTTTAAGCGTGTTGCAGTTCGAAGTTGTAAATGTTTATAGATGGGCGGCGAACGCTTGTGCCGAGGCCGGAATCGACAGTTCCGCAGAAAACCGGCGTCAGGTGTTGGGAAAGGCGTTGTACCTGGTGCGCTTTCCACTGCTGACGGATGGGGAAATAGCGAATGGTCCGCTAAAGGTCAGTCGGCGTGGTACATTCTATCAAAATACGAAAACATTGCTTTTATGAATCTTGCAGAGCGGATTGCTGTTGAAGGAGGAATTCTGCGCCATCTACGAGTATCTGTATAAGCACGGCGCCGACAAGCCGCACATTCCGTTTCCGGCTACGCCGCGCGTTCATCTTTTGTCAGACCATCCGGTGCGACATGCCAGACAGCGACCCAGTACATTTTTTTATCTTCCGCGTCGCCGATGAGATGTCGTCTGCCTTAATCATAGCGAGCTGTTTCTCGGGATAACGACCGGACAGTATGTCAGGAATTTCACGTTAAGTTTACAGCCGCGTTTATGTCTGGAAATTCCATTCAGAAGTGTTTGGTGCGGCAGTGAAGTAGTAATAGTTTTTGACGCGTAAAAGCTTATTTACGGATACTTTGTAATTTTGTAATTCTACTTTCAGTTATTTCAAGTCCGCAATTTTTTAAAATTTGTACAGTCGAACTGTGTTGAGCTTGTCGCTGAGTTTGGCAACTGTCTCATATCTACGGTGATTTTTCATGTTTGCTCCTGTTAATTTTGGAACTTGTTTGTTTTGTGGAAACGTAGAGCGGACCAGCGGCGTTATACGTGGTACCTGCGGTTCGGCTTTTGTATAATTGGATCTTTGTACCTTTGTAAAATAGCTTACGCAGTACTTGGCTGAGGAATCGAGCGAAAAATGTTATTAAACGTGGCTTACCAGTACAGTACTGTGATACATCCCGCTGATCCCGGCGGAAGCTTTTTGAGTCTAAAATAGTACTTGCAAGTTAATTTATTGTCAGGTTTGTGTTAGCAGTTTTCAAACCAGGCAGAAAATGTTGCTTGTGCTGTGTGCCGATTTTTAAACAAACTTCACAGGCGGCTCACTTGTCAATTGCGAATACTTGTGTATGGTATGACTCACACGTACTGTAATAATTACCTGAAAAGTTGCTAGTACAACCTAAGATAAGGAGCAGGTATCGGTCCATTTCTACTATCTGTAAAACATTAACCGATTAACGTAACTCTTACGTAAGTACTGTAATCAAATAGAGCTGCAACACTGTCGAACCCAACGGGACGGCAGCGACTAATACTAGTACAGTAGAGAATAGTACAGTACGCAGGAGAGCAAACCTGCTCCGCTTTCCGCAGTGAAGTACAGCAGATTTCTTCATAATTTTGTCACAAAATTCACAATGTGAATTACGAGTAAAATCCGTCTGACATTCTCCACGATTTGTCATCTAAATTCTTTGGGAAACATTTTGTCTGATTTAGAGCTGCAGAGTGGCAAGTTTCCAACGTATTCTGCAGATATTTTGTGAGCGAATTCGATCGCTGTTAGTTAGCTGCTTGTTTGTGGTTTGTGATCTACCAAGAACTGATCGGGAAATTATGCCAGCGATTCAAGAAAAACTTGCAGCCACAGGCGTCGTCAGCCGTCTGAGGAGTACGTTGGCCACTGGAAATTATTACGACGTCGAGTTTTCTGTTGGCCGACAGTTTGGAGCGCCGAAGTTCCTGCGCGCACACAAGTACGATCGCCTGTACAATCTGCACTGCAAAGCAGCCTGATATGAGGAACCTTCTGCCTACTCGAACGTAATTATTCGAAGTGTCTACTGTGCTGTTCTTGCAGATTGTTGTTAAGCATCAGCAGCGACGTTTTTGTTCGGATGTTCTACGGAAATCTGCCAGATAAATGCGAGTCTCCTATTGATGTTCCTGAGATTCCGCCAGATGTCTTCCTCAACATGCTCAGGTGCGCACTTTTGTTCTGACAATTTATTCCAACTTGGGCGTTTAGTTTTTAGTATCCTAATAAATTATACTTTAATCTGTTGAACCATTATTTTTGTAACAACCTTTTTCTATTGTACATTTTAATTTTTAATGAGTAAATTGCGCTTGCATTTCGCATGCAGCGACTGCATAAAGTGCTTTTGGAAAATGACGGGAAAATAATAATTCTTCATAAATCGTAATAACTTAGATATTGTGGTTTACGTTAAATGTCGTTAGTATATTAATTGATAGCTAGGCCTGTTCATTACATGTGTTTATTTATTTTACTGTCTTGAATTCAGTGTTTTTTATTGCTTATTTGTTCTGCTTCAGTAATTTTTTGTCTTTTTCTTCTGTAATTTAAAAAAATTTAATACATGTTTCCTTTTTTGTTGCGCACCATTTTTGATAGTTGTAAGCGCGATTTGGACGGCTTCCACCCAATAAACGTTTCTGGTTCGCAGTTTTGTGTACACGGACGCCGTGCAGAGCCTGACTGTCGACAATGTAATCCCGACCATGCACTGCGCCGAGAAATACAATATTCCGCCGCTGTTTGATCTGTGCTCCGAATTCATCATCCGTCAGCTCAACGTGGACAACTGTCTGACTGTTCTGCAGAGCGTGCGTAATGTCAGATGTATCTAACTATCTGGCCTTGCAACAGAATTTATTTTGATCGATCGCAACCTGGCTTTCTTCAGGTGATACATCTGGACGCGGGTGTGGTTGTGGAAAAATGCCGGGAGATACTGGACACCCACTCCTTGCCCGTACTGCAACCGCCGCAGTTTCCGGAGATGGATAATGGTACTAAACTGCGGATGATGGTGGCACGGAATACACTATCCGCTGCACGGCATCTCATCCATGCGGCCGCAGCGCCACCAGAGAACCGTGCTGATGCGACTGAAACGGCGCGAGTTGATGCGACGTCGATTGCCAAGGAGGCCAAGGAAAAAGCGGGCGCGAGCAGTGCAGCGGAAGGGGATGACGAAGAGAACCGGCAGCTCATGGCTGAAGCGGAGGCCGCGGCGGTGGCACAGCGGAAAGCCAGTTCTGATGGCAGGAGGGAGCGACGCCGCCTGCAGCGCCGGGAGAATCGGCCGGAGGTTCGGCGTCAAGAACGCCAGCGGAAAGCTGCGCGGGCCCACGACACGGAAGAGGAGCGGCAGCAGCGGCGTACCGAACATGAAGAGCGGACACAGCGGGAGCAGGCCGAAAGTTATGCGCGGTGTGTACAAGAACATTACAGCCGCTTGAAGCGCCAAAAGGCGGATGAGATTGCTGCAGCGGAGATGGAACTGGACGCTAGTAGCCAGTTCAATTTAAACTTCAATTGTCATAGAAAGGATTACTCTGGGTCAGCGTTGCCGTTACGTTCCAGTACACTATGTTTGCAGATTTATTCCGGAATACGACTTGTACAGTAACCATAATAATTAAAACATTTGAAAAGCTGTAGACAAAAATTGCGAAGTGTCACGTAATTGCTTGTAATCGAAATAATTACGCTAAATCGTAACCAACCCATCATTGTTGACTACAATGACTAATCAACTGGACAGTCTGGACTTCGGTTCGATATGAAATCAATAGAATACAGCACGGCGGAGCCACCCAAAATGTCCGGGTTTTATTTGACGAATGACTAACATATAGTTTTATTTGATTTTTCACGTTGCGGATTCATTTGCAAATGAATGTGTATTTCTACGGTATTAGGGCGAAAATTTGATCGGTTTACTGTTAGCAATGCCGGTGCATGCCCCATTCCGTAGCGCCTTCTCCCATAGCTCCCATCTTCCCATCATGGGAAGATGGGAGCTATGGGAGAAAGACTTACATGGGAATCCCATGTAAGTCTTTCTCTTCTCAGTCTGTTGGTAGATGTTCCGTTTGTTAACCACCTTTCCTACTGGCAAGTGGTATGGTATATTTATTTCAATTTTTAATACTTTTCTTGATGTTAACAAATTAGGTGATATGTAAAATAAAATTATTTCAGGCCTTCCGGCATCAACTTAAAACCGTCGGACATCCTGATGGTGTCGTATAGGGCTACCGCACTAATGTGCGCACATACATCACCCCCGTCAGCAATCATACCAATAAGAAAAAGTCACTGTACTTGTAGTGCAAAAGTGACATAGTGTAATTTTTTTACTCCTATAATTTTAATGGGCCAGACTTGTTGCTTTTCAGTTCTCAAGCAGATGAATGTGCGAAATCCCGTATTTAAGACTGTTTTATCGATGTTTTGTGGATCTCACCTTAGACGCTTAGTGGCCGTATTTTGTGAACAGTGATTACTTTTTGAGTCACCCGTCGTATTCTAGACCTTTGAGATCGGATGTACATTAGTAAAATGCCGAGTCGTCAAGAACCCGTTGAAAGCGTTATCAGCTGTCTGCAACGCACTCTGGCCAGTGGTAAATACAGCGACGTCCAGTTCACTGTGGGACGCCAACTTGGTGAAGTGAAAACACTGCAAGCACACAAGTACGGGGAATCTATCGTTCTGGTTTTCAGTAATACTAGTAACGAACGCGAAAGCATCACATCAAAAGGCTAATTTTGCAGGTTGCTGTTGAGTGCCAAAAGTTTGATCGAATGTTCTACGGAAGCCTGCCGAAGCACCGATCGATGTTCCGGACATTCTGCCAGATGCCTTCGTCAACATGCTAAGGTACGTTTAGCGAGGTTTACGGAACGGGTTCACAGTTTTTGGCCACCGCGACTTTGATATGTAACTTTGCTTGATGTATTTTGCGCATATTTCAGCTTCGTGTATTCGGATGCCGTGGAGCGTTTGGATATGGAAATCGTTTTTCAGACCATGTTTTGCGCTGTCAAGTACAACATTTAGCCGTTGTTTAATCGGTGCTCGAAGTTTATCATTGGTCAGCTGAGCCTGGAGAACTGTCTGACTGTTCTGCAGAGTGTGAGCTTACCGTACTACCGTAGTCCCGTTTGCTATTCTGCTATGGATGATACTAGTAAGAAGGAGGGTGCCATCCCGCTGTCTTATAGGTGAAACTGCTGGACGCACATATGGTTGTAGAGAAATGCATGGAAGTCGTGGATGGCTTCTCTAAGGAGGGTTTGAAGTCGCAGCAGTTGATGACCGTTGACCGCGACATCTTGGCGATGATTCTTGTGCGTGGTACATTGTCCGCTGAAGAGCACCTCATTTACGGGGCTGTGGAAAAGTAAGAAGTAGAGGCTATTTAAATGTAGAAACAATACTGGATATGTTGTATCTGTGCAATTATTCAAATACTACAAGGTTGAAGAAGTTACGTTTTGGCTTAAATACTCGTACCGTAGTTCGCGTCACTTATATTCCATCACGCTCAGCACATTTTTATGATTTTTTTGAATTAAAAGCACCCTTTTAGAAACGATTGTTTGTTGTTTGTAATTTAGCTTAGTTAAAAAACATTTTCTCCAACAAGTTTTACTTCCCAGGATTTTGTTGACAAGATAAGTACTATGCATGGCAGGTAAGCTACGCAGCGGACACATGCTGTTGTGATTAATATTTTGCTGCAGGTGGGCAATGAATGCCTGCCAAATGAGCGATCTCGATCCATCGCCAGTCAACCGACGTCAGATGTTGGGTGCGGCTCTGTATCAAGTCCGATTTCCGCTGATGTCGGATGCTTTGCTGGCGGACGGCCCATTGAAGGTAAGTAGTCTCAGAATATCTTGTATAAGAATTTGTGTCCACAGTAGTCTGAATTTCAAAGCTGAGATCGGCTTCCGAAATAACGTGACAAAGATTACGTACTACAGTACCTTAATTGCGCACTAGGGGCATGTACTCTGCAATGGTGAGTGCGTTGCACGGTTTGTACAATCATAAATTGTTTTGAATGTTTTGATTATGAAAGTATGCAGTTTGTTTGTGAAAATATGCAGTTTGATTGTGAAAGTACTACCCTAGTATGTGAAAGTACTGCAGAGTAACAAGATATGCAAATGTGTGGTAGACGGGTTTATTAACGATCGAGGAGATACGGGATATCTACCAAATGAAACATGCCAGCGTGAAGCCGGCCAGTGCTTTTGTAGCGGATCCTCGTCAGCCTGTGCACGTCTGCACAACCTTCGAGATCGGTGGGCACGTATTTCATTATGATGAAGAAGTGTTCGCTGCCAAAGATCACGAACGCTGGTGTACCGCACGAATCAGGGGAATTGATGGTGACCAGTTCCGTATTGTCTGGTGTAAGAAGACTCAGTTTGACAGTCGTCCACCAGGGAAGATACTTCGTGCCGCGGATATCCTGAAGCCCATGCCGGGTTTGCCGTTGAAGGTCATCTTAAGTGAAAATCGCGGCAGCGCAACCTTTAAGCAAGTCTTGTCGGCGGAGGAATTGGAGTTTGTGACATCGGATGCTGTTGTCGTGACTGTCCCGTTAAACGATTTAGCAGTTCACAATCAGTATGTGACGGCGTGGAAATTTTTGAAGGGTTTTCGGCGTGGGTTACGCGTAGACAGAGAATGATCCGTTTCGTGGTTTTTTAAGTATGCAAACACCAATAATTGCGTCAGTTTGCGGGTAACTCTTGTCCTTCTTTTATTAGTGTTGTAAATTTGTAACGAGATGTTAGTAAACTAATGCTTTCCTGCTCTTTCGTTTCTTTGCTTTAACCAAATCACTGCCAATGCGTTTTGTTCGTTCATATAACCCTATAATTTTGAATTTCAGATGTGATTACAGTTCTCGGATGTCTATAGATTCTGTATACAGTGAAAAATTAAACTGCTTCGGTGGTATGAAAATCTGAAAATATGTGAAGATACAAACATTGGACTGCGCAGTTTAGTAACCTGGAACTAAAGTAGTGATTTGACCATGCCAAATTCTTTTTATCTTTGGAAGTATCTTTTGTATCTTTGGAAGTGTTACTAATCTGTAACGAAGAAAAGGAAGAAAATATTGCCCATTTCAGCTTTCAAATCTTTCATTCGATCAAATACAGGTTAGATTCTTAGTAGCTCCGTCCAGCGTGATTTCTGCTTCTTGTGATTGAAGAGGTCAATGTCATACGGCTCCTGCCTGCTCCTGCCACATGGAGATGGTACGGCATGACAAGCGGAGTAAGAAAGCTTCTGAAAAATGTTCTGATGTCCGAAAGTTTTACTGATGTACAGTGTGCTTGCAGCAGAGCAACATCGGGGACATATCGCGCACACTAGTACGGTGCTGCTACAGTGCAAACTGTAAATGCAACGCGTCGAAATTGAAGTAAAGTAGTCTCATATGTCGTACAATCGACAGGCTCCTGCTTTGTGCGGGTACCGCCGTGTTCGAGACAATGTTCTACGAGAATGTGCAAGAAATCGGCGACAACCCGGTTCCAATTTCCGGGATGACGGCGGAAAGATGTTGAGGTTATATTATACCAGAAAGTGCACGTGATGTTGAAAGCTGCAGTTACTTGTTAGAAATGTATAAAAGGACGTCACTGATAACGCGTTTTGAAAGTTATGCATCTGCAAATTTACAATAGCCTGTACTTACTAATCGGTGGTTTAACTAAGTACCAATGGGCATGATTCGTATCTACAGTATGATTCG